AAAAAAAAAAAAAAAAAAACTATACCAATAGATTTCTTGAGACTTGGAGGGCGTGTAATAGAGCTTAATTTATCAACCCGTTTAAAGATAACTAAATGTTAGCTTAGATATACATGCATTTTTTTCTAGCTCCCGAAAAAAAAGTATATTTTTTTGTTAATTCAGGCATGTCATTAATCATTGGTTACATTTCTATCATAATATTATTATAGAGTAGTCAGTGATAATAATATATGGTGAATATTATATATATTTATTATTTATATTTAAAAAATATATTTATAAAAAAAAAAARCAAATCTTAATCACGGGCAAATCCGGGCGGGACATGCAGCTATATACTGCGTACCTATATATTAATATGAATTTATTGTAATTTATACGATATGTATGTTTGAATAATAATATATCACGATGATGTTAAACAGATCAAAACTTCAAAACCCGAACAAAATGGAAGTGGGATTTACCACGAACTTCAAAAACTTATTAAGCTCCGGTCAGTATCAGTTCGAAGGATATTTGGGGCGTATGCCAATCAACGCCAACGGCCGATACAACATAACATTCAGTAAAGTCAATCTATGATATTTTATTTTCTTATATAATTAACGGCGTAAAACCATCATTGTCATTGTATGAGCTTTTATAATAGCTACCTGTATATTACATACACCTGTAGGGCTGCAGAGTATACCTATATAATATATTAAAATAGAGGTGTGGMCAATTTGTGGATCGTGTCAAAGTCGTATGCGGCTCGCATCTAATTGAAAAAAAAAAAAATGTCTTTATTAACGATATAATACGATAAAATTAAAAATTATAAAATATATTTATGAACATTTTGGCTCTTGATATCTTTGTATTTATCTATGTGGCTCGTGGACGTATTCATGATGTTGACCACTTCTGATATTTAATATATATCGTATCAACATACGTTGCAAGGTACATAACTTTAGGGGGTCTTTGCGTCTAGAGAGTTTAGAACTGTTCAACATGTATATAATATATTTAATAATATTCTAGTATTGCATGTTTGTGACTTGTGTACACACAAATATAATATATATTACATTGGTAGGTACACATAGGTAGTCGAGTAGACGCACAGACAGCGTAAAACACTGTCAACACTTTCACACGCATATATTATAATATATTTATATATATTACAATTCAGCGGTTCCCAACCTTTTTAGCCGGCGGTGCCCTTTTGTTTGAACAAATTTTGTTAGGTGCCCTTTTGTGAATATCACGAGGAACGTGATAAAAACAAACACTAGTTTTCATTAATAACTGATTTAAATAATTTTATCGAACATATTATTATTAACAAACTATAATTTTATAGTTGAAAGTAAAAAGAAAAAATTCTGCTTTAATAGTGAAAAAACTAATAATTAACGAGATATTTRAGGCTGTTTATTTTTGGAAAGTTTGACAATATTTTTATCTGTTTAAAAAGGCAGTTTAAAAATACTAAAAATAYATAGCCACMAATTTTTCTAATAAGCATTGAAAGTTTGAATTTTGACAAAATACGTAAAAATCACGAAAATTTACAATTTATTTTGAGTTAGAAATTCATAAAAATTTATCTTTTTAAATCTAAGATTTGAAAATTCAATACAAGATTCTTCATGTCGAGTTTGTCTACTTTTATCAAATAAAAAATGTTTACCGAAAAGTCAAATTAAATTTTTATGAGCATTTGAATTACCAATATTCTTATTTTATTGTTATTCAAAAACGAATTACTGTAGGAACTTGAGATTTACACCAAACGTTTATTTTATCAATTCCTATACTTATTTATAGACATTTGAAATTTTATGTTTTTTGTTTTTATTTTATAAATGTCAATAACATTTTTT